AGTGCACATTAATGCACACAAAATCACAAAATACAAAATCAGTTCCTCAGGTTCCTCTGGTTCCTCTGGTTCCTCTGGTTCCTCTGGTTCCTCTGGTTCCTCTGTTTCCTAAAAGAAACATGTATTTATTTATTTAATCAGGACAGTGCACATTAATGCACACAAAATACTAAATCAGTTCCTCTGGTTCCTCTGGTTCCTCTGGGTCCTCTGGTTCCTAAAAGAAAAATGTATTTATTTATTTATTTATTTAATCAGGACAGTGCACATTAATGCACACAAAATACTAAATCAGTTCCTCAGGTTCCTAAGGTTCCTCTGGTTCCTCTGTTTCCTCTGCCCGGTCGCCTTTATTAGCTTTCCTCCAGATCCCTCAGGAGACAAAATACAAAATCAGTTCCTCAGGTTCCTCAGGTTCCTCAGGTTCCTCAGGTTCCTCAGGTTCCTCTGGTTCCTCTGTTTCATCTGTTTCCTAAAAGAAAAATTTATTTATTTATTTAATCAGGACAGTGCACATTAATGCACACAAAATCACAAAATACAAAATCAGTTCCTCAGGTTCCTCAGGTTCCTCTGGTTCCACTGGTTCCTCTGGTTCCTCTGGTTCCTCTGGTTCCTCTGGTTCCTCTGGTTCTTATGTCCGGTCGCCTTTATCGGCTTTCCTCCAGATCCCTCAGGAGCCTTTAACCCTTGTGTTGTGTTCGGGTCTTTACTAAAAGAAAAATGATTCAATTCAATTTAATTTCTTCTAGTTCCTCTGGTTCTTCTGGTTCTTATGTCCGGTTGCCTTTATCAGCTTTCCGTCAGACCCTCATGTTGGATTCGGTTCTTTAGTTGGAAGCCTGAGAATAAACCAGAGTAGATCAAGAGTACAAATATGACATTTATTGGTCACAAGCAAAGTAAATCAGCGCTGGGCTCTCACAGACAAATTTCCCGGAAGATCTCAGTTGGCAAAAGCCTCGATTTCCGGGTGTAATGGGTAGTTATCCAACAAATGGTGCCGTGACCCGGATGCAATGTGTAGTTATCCTCTGGGCCGGGCCTCGAAGGGGGAAGACGGTTGGGCGTAGCCGAGCATCATTGGCCAGTTAGCTCTGACAGGAACAGGCCAGGTCCTAATTCATGCAGGTTTAGGTGGAATGAGATAAGAAAGTGTGGATGTTGAGCTTGAAGACGAGTATCTACTGTA